ATCCAAAGTTAGTTCCTTCTACTTTCTTCCTTCCCACCTCAATGTTCCTCTTATCTTTGTCCATTTCATTTTCCTTCCCTCCTTTCTGGGAAAGGAATATTCATTTATTAAGCACCTATGATGCACCAGGCACCATGCTAAAGGCTTTCACAAATATCTCATTTGATCCTCACAACAACCCTTTGAGGTAAGTGCTATTATTACCATTTTGCAGTGGAGGAAACTGAGACAGACAGAGGTTAAGTGACTCAGCCAGGGTCAAACAGCTAGGACTCCAGGCCCAGCACTCTCGCTGCCTCCAGAAGTATTTCTCCTTTTCACAAATGCTAGTCATTTTTCAAAGGAGGAAACTGAAGCCCAGAAACATCAAATGACAGCCAAGGTCACTTGGGCATGAAATGACAAGATTCAGGCCCAGGTCTTCTGACTTTAAATGCAGCCCTCTCTTTTGACATTGCCCCATCCCTAACTTCGCATTAACCGCCAGCTAGAGAGCTGTCATCTGTACATCCTGCTAACCCATTCTGGTATTTGAATTGATCTGGTCTGGACAAGCTCTTGGTGAAACTCGATACAGCTGTCGTGGGGGAGGGGCCTGGCACACGCGCAGACCCCATCAGCTTGTTTGGCCTCTGAGACCTCCCCATGTGGAGGCGGCTACAGAGCTTGCTTCTGGGTAAGGCGAGGAACTCTGAAGCCTGTCACTGCTTCCGTTTAGCTAACAACATGGCAGAGAGGAGCCTCTCTAGCGGGGAGGGCTTTCAGACTTCTGACTTCGTCTCTTCATCCACTGAGATGACATGGTCTGAAGGGAGAAAGACCTTTGGGACGCCTCCTTCCCTGAGGCCACGTGTCCTCAGTCCTTTGCTTTTTCACCTGTCCTTTTCTGTTGCAAGTGGAAGGAGAGAAGCCTTCATAACATTAAGGGTTTGAGGGCATGTTGATGTCCCAGGCCAGTTTTTTTCAGCCAGTGCAGCACCGATCCCCAAGGAACAAGGAGTAATGTTTTGGACCCATGCGAGGGAAAGCTGACTCATCTGCCCTCTTTGGACATGAACCTGACAGGACCAATTCAACACAGAGACAGAACTAAATTCTGAGCCAACTGTTCTCAGAGACCGAGGTGGCTTAGGGGAAAGTATGCCCCAGAGGTATTAAGGAAGATGCTTATACAAATGTTCTTGCTGTATCTCTGAAATGAATAGTTCTATGAAAAAGCTATCAGATGGTTAAGTGGTTAAATGGAACTGGGGTGCTAGTTCTTACCCCTAACAATGGGGGGAATAGTTAGTGGGGGCTCAAGCCAATGGCAATAGAGAAGCCAGCCTAACCCCTCAGAGTACCCCCTAGAATCTTGAGGGGGGAGATGTAGCCTTCCTGCCTCTGGGAGAGGCAGTCAGAGCATATATGTTAGCCATCTCATAGTTCCTATCATTTGTTTTAGAGCTGTCTCCTTCCAATTCTAAAGGAATCCTAAGGACGACTCGTTTCTTGTTCCTTTGGGAAAAATAGCTGGAATCCTGGTTCTGCCTTCAGGATGTTCATATTGTGAAAGTAGATTATGCCCTCCATCCCCTTTAAGAAATATTAAGAAAGCATTTAAAATTATCCTCATCTGAAGAGAAACATTATCAGTCTTTCTTCAACTGTCAGTTCAGAAACCATGGCTTTCTGTCTCTTTTTAACTCTTCAGGCAGTAACCACACACAACATGCTTCCTCTCTCAGGTGCAACTGGGTCCAGAGAATTCAGATGCCATCATAGGATGGCATTATTTCTTCCTCTTTTCTTACTTTCATTTGAGGATTTTCCGTTGCTGTGTCAGCACTGAGCCTGAGCCTGACATCCACAGGCTGGCAACTGGCATTGCAGAGGAAAGCTCTCAGGGGGAGGACTTGGCCCTACTCCTTCCACGAGGGTGGCCAATGCAAGGTCTGTTTCCTTCTGTGGCTTCAGAGGCCATGCAGCTGCTCTTAGCTGACGGCGGGTGAGAGAATAAGGCTAATGTGGGCCAGATTTTCTAAGTGCGCCTCTGAGCTACCCAAGGTCTGTGAGGAAAAATTCTGCGGGCTGACCACAAACAACAGCTCTTGTCAGCACCATCCAGAAGGGAAGGCAGGTGTGTATTTGAGGGAGGGGGTGCAGCCTGGCTACCTGGGTCATACTCAAAGAACTGATACTCCCAGGAGTTCTGAGATGGATTTTCATGCTTTGAATTTTAAAGAGCCAGCCATTAGAGTGATGAGGACCAAACATGACATCCCACAGGAGTCTGCACTGAGCTGTGGGAGAGTTCTTTGGCAGTAAAACTCCCAGGGTGTCTGGTCTTGACCATCAACTGGGTCACTTGTTTTCACCTGATGTTTCAACAAGGCCCAGAGACTGGACAAGGGGAGAAAGAACTCAGTGTAGAGCATTTGTTTCCAATAAAAAAACCCCCAAAGCCAAGACAGAGACAGGGAAAACACTATGATAAAGAATGGTACCTCTTCATTTTAATTAAGGCTAGGGAATTTTGGGCAAAAGGGATAACTGAGGAGAAGCCTGAAAAGTGTTTTTTTTTTCCAGTTATTCCCATGTGATCCTCTGGTTCCTGCTTGGCAAGACACGACAAGAAGTCCACGCTCCAAAAGTGTTTAGGGGAGACAGTTTTGCAATGTGGCAAGGAGGCAAATATGTATTTGTGCATAGCCTAGGTCCCCCCATACACAAACCCCAGAGATTGAGACCTTTCCTATTTCCCTGCTCTGAGAATCAGATTGTTATTTCCTCATCCTTCTCCTCCATCACCTCCTCCTCCTCATCATCACCATCATCATCATCAGTAGGTACAGTAATATGTTTAATAGGAAAGAAAAAGGAATGGAGAGGTACTTTTTTTTTTAAGCGGGAGGTGTGGGGTAATAGGAGAGGCTTTGATTTTGCTTAATCACATCAATAAAAATGGTGAAACCTTGGGAATGAGCTAGAAGGAGAGGCCCGAGAGGAGACTGAGGAGGGAATGCCCATAGGCAACACCAAGGGAGCTTCGGAGAAGCATGGAAAGTGGTAGCTTGAGGAGCAGCCAGGACCACTCAGGACACTAACCAATACACTTTACATGTATTATCTCATTTGATCCTCACAACAACCCTGTGAGGTAGGTGCTGCTATTATCCTCATTTTACAATTGGAGAAACTGAGGCTGAAAGAAAAGTTAAAGGATTTAACCTGGGGTCACTGAGGTAGGAAGTGTCTGGAACAGGATTCAAGCTCAGATTGTCCTGGCTCCTAGTCCAGCATTCAATCCGCTGTCCCACCCAGAGGCCTCACTGGGTCAGGATCCCATCGCCCCTTTCTGTGAGTTCACAGAATTCACCCAACTTTTCAGAGGCGGGGAGAAAGTCAAATACAGGCCTCAGGATAAAAAACCCTGGGCATCTCAATCCCTGTTACTAGAGAGGCAATGACCCAACAGGACAGGAATAACTCTCAATACAACCAAAGATCTCCAACCTTTTAAAAGAGTTCTGGTAAAGGCAGGAAGTCCTCCTAGGGCCCAAAAGCCTGAGATGAATGATGCCTGCTCCCTTGGACCTCCCTCGGGGGCTGCCTGCTGTCAGGCCATCTTGTTCTGTTAGGCAATCTTCTTGACCAAGAATTAGAAGGCCTGTGTCACTATGCAGGGGTTAAAAAAGGGTCACAAAGAAAACACTGACTTATCAGGAATTCTGTCCGATCAGAGATCAACTAACTGTGTGACGTGGGGCTAACACAAACATCTCTGAGCAAGATGAAGAAAGCCCCTTTGGGAAACTGGATTGGGCACACAGGCGTAGGTGATGAAGACCAGAATTAAGTGCCTCCTGAGCATAAGGCATTATGGGCTCATGGTTTGTCTAAATATCTTACTCACTCTGCTGGTTTAGAAGTTGGCTGGCTGGTCACTAGGTCCTGTCCAAACCCACGTGATTGAGCCCGGGCTAGGGCAGATGTCATCCTAATTCCCTGGTCTGAAAGGAGTATTCCAGCTCTCCTCTGATAGAGATGCTTCTACCCACATCCAGGTAGGCAAAACCACAGTGGAATGCCCAACCTGGACCCACCAGTTCTACCTTCCACCTTCTCTTTTCCCTCTTTGGCCTAAAATCCAACAATAGAATTATAATAAAAATGACTCACATTCTTTAGTACCTTTAAGTTTTTGCTTCACAACAACCCTGTGAGGTAGGTAAGTGTGATCCCCTTTTATAGAAGAGGAAACCAGGGATCAGAGAGGCATGGACACTTGACCATGGTGGTTACATCGCTAAGTAAGCATCAGGGCTGGGGCTCAGCATCACGCATCCACTTATCCTGCTGACCTCTGCACAAAAAACTCACCACTCCAGAACTCACCAAAATACAGAAGATGAACACTGCCATTTTAGATGATATGACAATGAGGTAATGTCTGGGTTTGAACATAACTACTGTCAGGTTAATTATTAATTCATGCCAGGAACCAAACCATCACATTATGAACAGGAGACCAGCTCCCAGGCAAGCTGAGGAGCTCCTGTGGACCACCACACACTATGGACCTCTTCACTTAGAGGGACCCAAGTATGAATTGCTGGTTTCTCTTATAACATCAAAATGATAATACTAGCGGGAGTCTCAGTGAGCCCTCTAAGGACAATGCCATTACTCTCTGGACAACAGCACTCAACTTCTCAATATTACCCACAGCTCTTCCTAGAGGGTGTCAGGAAATTTCACGATAACATAACTCAATCCACTTTCCTGTCTGCGCATCACAGAAATAGTTATGCCAGTAGTTCAGGGGATCACAGAAGAAAGTCTTGGGAACAGTCCTAGAAACTAGTAGACAACTTTGAAGCTGCCAGGCCTGTGGTTGACTGAGAAAGTCCCGTGCCCGTCACTTCTCCATGTTAAAAGAGTACTACTGATAACCCTGAAAATCCATCTTCCAATGCGACCTGGAAAACTACCCAAGAGAAATGCACGGTGGTCCTTACCTTTCCACCTCCTGGCTGATGTTTTAAGTTTTCAGTGGACCCAATCTTAGACCTGACATTTTTCAAGTCCGGCATGGGGACCGTAGAAGTCTGAAGGCGACTCTTGGCTGAAGAAGGGGACTTGGGTGGCGTACGGACCACCGCCACCTTTTTTGGCTCCCTGGTGGGGGGTGTGGGCAGTGAGGGTGTACGGGACCGGCTGCCAGGAGTCCCTGGGGAACCTGGGCTGCTGTAGCCGCTTCGGTCTCCAGATTTTGTAGATTCACCTGAGAAGGGGAGAAAGAAGAGCGTTGGCTGATTTACAACATGTTGATATTAAAACCCCATAACAACCCTCTCCAGTGCACCGCCTGGGATGGTTCCCTCACATGCTTGGGACAGTTAAGCCGTACAAGATGTAGTAAATGTCAGCAAATCTAATGTGCATTTGTGAGTGTTCCTTTTTGTCCGAGGAAGTCACATGAGTGCACTTCTACTCACCTGAGGTACAATCCCAACCTAGCTACTGTCCCTATCAGCAGAGCCTGAAATCAGTAGAGCCTGGTTATAAGAAGACATGGGCTGGGTCAAGCAGAAATGAGTCCACCTTATGGTATTTATTTATTATTTAAGATAAGCACATTTGAAACAAGGTGAGGCATCATAGTGTAGAGGAAAGAACGCTGGGTTTGGAGATTCCAATCTCTCCTTGGCTCTTTATTACCTGTGAGATCTGGGGCAAGCCCCCTTACCACTCTGGGCCTTGGTTTTCTTATCTAGTTTCTAAGATCTGCTTTTTTTTTTCCTTTTGTTTTTCAGTTGTGCCTGACTCTCTGTTACCCCTTTTAGAGTTTTCTTGGCAAAGAACCAAGAATGGTTTGCCATTTCCTGCTCCAGCTCATTTTACAGATGAGGAAACTGAGGCAAACAGGGGTTAAGTGACTTGCCCAGGGCCACACTGCCAGTAAATGTCCGAAGCCAGATTTGAACTCAGGCAGATGAGTCTTCCTGACTCCAGGTCCAGTGCTCTGTGCACTGTGGCGCCCCCTAGCTGCCCTGTAAGCCCCAGCTTTACATACTATGAAATTTAACTTAGGTCTATTTTGTGTTAGCTATGGATTAATGCTTTGATAATAATTTTCGTTTACCCTGTGGTGTGCCAGGGAAAACTCTGGGCCTAGGAGTCGGGGGACCTGGGTTTTAGTCTTAGCTCTACTACCGACTGGCTGTGTGACCATGGAGAAGTTGCTTCACATCTCTGGGCCTTGGTTTCAACATCTCTAAAATGAGGGCAGTGGACTAGATGGTGTCTAAAGCGCCTGCCAACTATAAATGACACGATTCTCTGGCTCCATTTTAATTCTTAGAACCAGGCTAGCAAGCCTTTTTAGAAAATTGATCATTCTCTCTTTTGGGCTTTCTTAGAAATAGTTTGTTGTCGGCATTTGGCCATTTCAGTCACGTCCGACTCTTCATGACCCCACTTGGGGTTTTCTTGGCAGATACTGGAATAGTTTGCCGCTGCCTTCTCTGCTCATTTTACAGATGAGGAAACTGAGGCAAACAGAAGTTAAGTGACTTGTCCAGGGTCACACAGCTAGTAAGTGTCTGAGGCTGGATCTGAATTCAGGTCTTCTTGACTCCAGGCCCTGCGCTCTACCCACTGCCCACTGAGGTGCCCAAGCAGTTTGGTAACAGAGTTTAGAAAAGAGTAAGAATAACTGCTTTCCCTTCCTCTGCAGCCTGGAATGTTCTCCATCCAGGAAATGAAATAATATCTGTAAGGTGCTTAGCCCAGTGGTCAGCATATAGTAGGTGCTTAATAAATGCTGGTTTCCTTCCACTTCCTCACACTTGGAAGCAGTGAAGTCATAGGATGAATACTTTCCTTCCTCTTCATTTCCTTTCCCTTCCTTCCCCCCCCCCGGCCCCAAGATAGCCTAGGATGGAATTTCCTTTTGCAGAACCTTACTTCAGGCCTAACTGAAAGGGAAGAAGGAAAGGGAAAGGGGCATTTATTAAGCACTTACTATATGCCAGGCACTGTGCTAAGTGCTTTAGATATATTATCTCATTTGATCCTCACAACAACCCTAGGAGATACTTGCTAATATTATCTCCCCCTCCCCCTCCAGTTGAGGAAAGTGGAGTAGACAGAGGTTAAGTGTCTTGCCCAGGGTCACAAAGCCAGTAAGGGCTTGTGGCTGAATTTGAACTCAGGTCTTCCTGACTCCAGGCCCAGTGCTCTATCCACTGCACCATCAGCTGCCTCTTTGTAGGAGCCTGCCATGTACTTGGCTACTGCCAACCTGATTTCCAGATTCCTCTGGAATAGACTCCATGCCAACCCTTCCCTCCTCCTGCCCCCAGGGAATCTCTAGAATTCAGTAATTCAAAGAATTCACTAATTATGAGGTAGTTTTTTAAAGTCCAAGGAAGGATGGCCCTTGGCCAGAGAGCTGTCTCAACAGCTAGAACACAGGGTGTCCAGCACGGTACAGCAAGTGCTTGGCCGTGGGATGAAGGGATTATTTAATAGAGTCATCCAAGCCTGTCTTCCTGGGCCGTGCCTTGGAAATTATCGTCCAGCTCTCTGACGAGAGGGAAAGCAGAAAGGACAGGGTCAGCCTAGGAAAGGACGACCCACTGCGCTCTGTGCAAGGATGGGCTACCGTCACCTAAGCCCGTGGCATCTCAAAGTCCGCCTTCCTTTGTACCACAGTTGTATTCATGAAGAGTCAGGGTTAATTACAACTATGATCCCACTGGCACGCACAGTTGTTTTAGACATCCTTCATACTCAGTTTTGTCATCCTTCAGTTTCCCACTACTCCTCCAGTCCCAATTCTCTACCAATTAGTTAATAATCTACAAACTAAAAACTCCCAGAGCTATGCTGTGTGTGTGTGTGTATGTGTGTGTGCGCACGCGTGCGCACATGTGTGCACGAGGGTGGGGCAGAATTGGAACAGTCATTTAAAGGGCCCTAGGTGATGAATTCATTTGTAAAGTGAAAACTGGCATCTAATTTTTTCAAACTGTTGTTTTTGTTTTAAAGTTTGGACTTTCATCTATGCTGTGCTTCCATCAAATCAGGACAGCCCTGCAGTCTAGCCCAGCAGCGTGATGAGTCTCTGATTTAGGATCCGAGGAACAGGACACTAACTGAGGGCTCCTGGCTGAGTGGGCATCTCTGCCCCAAGCTCACGACGGCGACCTTTTTGGCCAGAGCTCTGCCCAGCAGTGGGGGCAGAAAGCCTTGGCGAAGGGGTCCTCCTCCAAACCACACCACAGGCACAAGCCCGTCCAGCTCAGTGTGACGAGGACCCATGTTCTGTGTGGGGTCTCACCACACAGACCCTGAGGCAAACCCTGCCTGAATTAAAAGGGAGGCTTCATGCTATAGTCCGGAAAAGTAGAGGTGCTGGCATCAGAGGAGCCGGGTTCAGATCTGCCCGTGTCGCCTCTACCCCCAGCTTAATAACCTCTAGTTTTATCTCCAGGATCAAATATAGAAACCAAACTGGCCCCTTCCTCCCTTTCCAATTTTCTTATACTCCCTCACTTCTGCACATTCTGTAATTCAGTGACATTGGCTGGCCTCCATCTCCAAATCCCTCAGTTTTGTTTTAAAGTTTGAGAATGATCTCTTTTCCCTTTGCTCCTTCATTTTTAAATTTTTTTTTTTTTGGCTGAGGCAGGTGAGGTTAAGTGACTTGCCCAGGGTCACACAGCCAGGGTCAAGTGTCTGGTCTGAGGCCGCATTTGAACTCAGGTCCTCTTGACTCCAGGCCTGATGCTCCATACACTGCACCACCCAGCTGCCCCTGCCCTTTCATGTCATACCCATCTCATGCTCTTCTGTTTGCTCTGGCATCATGGTGATTGTTTATTTTGGGGACTGGATCTGTGATCTCATGGATGGGGATAATTGCTGGTGTGGAAATTTCCTTTAGTAATTACTGCAGATGCACAACTGGTCTGTGACTTGTGTTTTTATAGACTTGCCTTGGACACTGACAGGTTCACCGACTTGCTGGTATTTGTCAGAGGCAGGATTTGAATCCAGGTCTATCTAATATAGGATACTCTCTCTTAATTGCATGGTTATAATAGATTTACATGTATATCACCAGGCCCACAGCTAGACCGTAAGTTCCAAGTCTTAACCTAGCACAGTGCTACAAAAATAACTTTTATTCAGTAAGTCGTTGTTGAATGAATGAAATAATGGATGAATGAGTGCCCATACAAAAACTGCCACTCTGAGGAGACTCTGGCTTTTACCTGTGTGCACCTGTAAGAGGTTATATAAACTCTACCAGTCAGTCAAACTGTCTACAAGCCTTGTTGCTCTATTCTGGTTTCCTGAGCCTGACTGCTCAGTGACAGGCAGCCACTCACCACTCTGGCCCCAAAGAGAATCTCTCTCCTCTGAACTTAGTATATTAACAACGACAATAAAGCCACCCGAGGTCTGTCTAGCCCACCATTCTGTCCCAGAGAATGCTCGCCAGGGTCACTCTGCAGGGCAGAAGAGTGGCTGCTCTCCACCATACCCCACAAGAAGTTGGCCTCACATTCACTGAGACCCTGGGTGCATCTGTGGCTCAGTGCTAGGGCATTTTTTCCTACCAGCACTCGGAGGTGTCTTTGGGGCTGATGTTTTCGCCGGAATTCTGGTCGCGTTGGCTGGTCCTTTCTGACCTGAAGGGGCTGCCGCCCTGGGAGTGGCCATTTTTATTCCGCTTTTAGTCTCCGCCCCCTGTGAACCAAATGAGAATGGAAAGTTTATTGCATATGAACATCTCTGAAATCCAGCAGGATTTCCTCTTGTTGTGCTTCTCTACAGACCTCTACATCAAACTTTCAATTCTATCACAATCTACTTCTATCCCTTTCTCAAGTCAGAATCCAAATTTGGGGGTCATCCATGACAAAGTTGAAACCAATGATACTTTGGTTTTCACCTGGCCCTTACAGCTAATGACCCTTATCCAAGTGTCAAACATGCAAAACCCCATAATGGGAGTTAATATCGTCATTACTGATCTTGACCAAGCCTGTGAAGTTTGTCAAGCCATGCTCCAAAATTTCTCCATTGGGACAGTTACACTGGTTAGTAACAAGAAGCCTTATAATCTTCTGTACATAGTTACCTAAAACAATTTTACCTGATATCAATTTTACTGGGCTTGAAAAATCAACCAGCTTTTGTCCTTTTAGGAGTAGACTGTGCTCAAGTGAATGCTTCCATTCTAAATGGAATGGTTTATGTATTTAACTAATAACTAATGATCTCATCAGTTTGAGCACATCCACCACTATTTGCTGAATTTTGCTCCTATCTTAACTCAGCGGGTTTTTTAAGCTACCTTTTTGATATGTTGTGAGTCTTTTATGAGTACAGAAATTATTAACCAAGTAAACAAATGAAAAAGTTGCAAGTGAAAGCAGCAACCTATGCACAGTCTACTAATTTTCTAATGATTAAGGGTTAGCTATAACATACAAGCAAAAAGTAAATAACATTGATGAAGGATGGCTTCAGAATGAATGGGCTATGCTGGATGTATCTTATGTAAAAGAATGAGAGCTATGTTACCCAAGAGGACCTAACTACTATGCCAAAGTAATAAAAAAAAAAAAGATAATATTTTTATAAATATAAAATTTACAGATTTAGTGCCATGCCAATCAAACTACCACAGAGTTACTTTACAGCACTAGACAAAAAAACAAAAAATCATCTGGAGGGACAAAAAAATCTCAAGGGAAATAAAAAATAGCAGAAGTAGAGGGGATGCAGTCTTACCATATCTCAAACTATGCTATAAAGTAATAATCAGGACTATTTAGTACTAGTTTAAAAAAATAGGAAAAATTTTGAATGGAACAGATTAGGTGAAGACCCAGAATGAAACACAGCAGCCAGTGTTCATATTGAAGGATACCAAATAATGGGATAAGGGTTCTCTCTTGGACAAAAACTGCTGGGAAAATGAGAAAGCAGTTTGGCAGAAATTAAGTTGAGGCCAACATTTTATCCTACATATGCACAAAGCTCCAAATGGACACATAAATATAAAAGGTCACATCCCAGAAGAGATAGAGGTGATCCTAGGAGATAAAAATGGATAATTTTGATTAAAGAAAACTAAACAGTTTTTAAAAATCTTGGTTTTATCGACATCTTTTTTTTTTTTAAACACAACCTTTATTTCCAACTATAGTTTACCAGTCCCATCCCAGTAAGCTATTGCTTGTAACCAGGATCAAAAAGAGGGGCAAAAAAGTAGTTTAGCAAAAGTCAACTTTAACATAAGAACCATGTCTGACAGTACGAGCAATATTCCATACCCTTAGTCCCCCACCTCTGCAAAGAAGGGAGGAAGGTACATTTTAAAAATCTTTTCTCCAGGGCAAGGCTTGATTAGGATAATTATGCAGCATTCAGTTTCATTTGTTTGTTCACTGTATTTACTTTGTGGTAGTCCCTGTATAGACTGTTTTCCTGCTGTTGTTCACTTCACTCTGCATCAGTTCGTATGTCTTCCTATGCTTCTCTGAGTTTTTTATATTCATTATTTCTCCTGGTACAGTAATAGTTCATTATATTTATATATCATTATTTTTTTCAGACCCTCCCTAATCAGTGAGCATTTGACTTCTTTCCAGCACAAAAAGTGCTGCATTTTTGGACAGCGAAATGGATATTTTGGTGCATTTGGGACATTTCTTCCTATATACCCTTCTTGAGGTATATGCCTAGCAGTGGGATCTCTATGTCACTTTTAGTCACTTTTACAGCACAATTTAAATTGCTTTTGAGAAAGTTTGGACTAATCCATAGCCTCAACATTAGTACAGTAATCATCCTATGTCTCTTCAAAACCTCCAACACTGACTATTTCCATCTTTTGTCATCTTTGCTAATTTGCTAGAGGTGAAGCAAAACTTCAACATTATTTTGATTTGCATTTCCCTTTTAATATCAGGGATTTGGAACAATCTTTCATGTAATTTCTCATGGCTTACCATTCTTGTAAAAACTGCTTTTCAAATTCTTTGACTACTTATCCACTTAAGAATGATTTGGTCTTGTGAATTCCTTGGATATCAGATCTCTATCAGAGACATTTCATATATACATTTTCTCCCAATTAGCCACTTTCCCCTTGTTATGCTAATCCTATTTATTTTGTTCTTACAAAAGCTTTTCAATTTCATGTAAACTTTATTTTATTTTTTTCACGACTGCTTCTTTGCATTATTACTTAAGAATTCTCCCTCTTAGCCATTGCTGTGAAAGGTGTCTGTATTTGGTTCTCTTCTAATTTTTTATAGTATGTAATCTTTAACATTCAGATCATGTATCCACTTCAAGTTCATTGTGGTATATGGTATAATATGTTGGTCTAAACCTAATTTCTGCCTGTTTTTCAGTTTTCCTAGCAATTGTCAGGTCTTCTCCAAGTAATTTATGTCCATAGTTTTAATCAAAAATTCAGTTCATTTCCCCCCTGATTCTTCTTTATCTGTGAAACAACAAAAAACCCAATAAAAATAAAATACAATAAAGGCTTCAATTAATGTCAAACACTAATTTCAAGACTCCTCTAATATAACTTGCTCTTCCCTTAACCTACTCAGAGTTGGGACTCTGGTTCAGCTCAGGTTAATCTTGCTGCACAGGACAAGTGACAGAGACAGGCCCCCCCAAGAGCAGTTTTCCAAGGATCAGAGTGTTGATGAATGAGCCAACCATACCCACCAGCATAGCTTGACCCTATGCAAAGCCAGGCTCCTTACCTTGCGTTTCATTGCTTTTGCTCCAGAACTGCCAGTATGGGATGTGACAGAAGAGACGTGTTTAGGAGAGGAACCTGGTACTGAGGACACAGCTGGGCTGGAGGGTGTGATCGAAGGGTCTGAGCTAACAGGAGAGGGTCGTTTAGGGATAATGGTAGGTCTACCTTTCAGGAAGGTTTGAGCAGAGGAAGGTGTGGATGTCTTAAATGTGAACATAAAATAAAATCAGAACCAAAATCAGTACATAAAAAGAAAGCAAACCAAAATGAGTGATGGAGGTTGTCAAAGGGGTGTCCCATGGCTCAGAACAATTATCAGGATGCTTGGTTTGGGTTTTATTTGGGAGGGGGGTTCATGACACAGGTGGAGAATGAGGGAATCTTGAACGTGTCGGGTGCTTTACACAGCTCCAGACTGCTACTGGGTTGTCCCCGTATCTCTCTGTTTCTAGTGACAGGCTGATGCATGCTTGCTAACTTTATGTCCTCTGCCATTTTACAGATGGACTCAGAGCAGCAGCAGGGGGGCACACAGGCAAGAATGCTGGGCCGCAGACAGGAGACCTGAGTTCTGATCCTGGCTCTGCTATTAACTTGCTGTGCGACCTTGGGCAAGAGATTCTGCCTCAGTTTTCCCATATGTAAAATGAGGGGGTTGAATCAATCTCTGGGGTTTCTTCCAGATGTGACATTCTACAGATACGTGGCTGTTAAGATACTTATGCACTATGCATTCATAGGCTTACAAGTTTTCAAGGCTGAGGCAGTGCTATAATCCTTTAGGCCTTTGCTTTTGCCAACAACCTACTTAAGTACCTAATACGTACACACACACACACACACACACACACACACACACACACACACACATCAAGTTATGGCTAATTTCAAAATCAACTACCTAATCTTAACATTACCCAAATAGTCTCATTAATGCTAAATCTTAGAAGAATAAAAAAAAATACAAATTTACAGCACTATTATTTATGGCAAGAATCTACAAGCACTCAAAGACAATGGGCATTTCATATAGTTGTGCTTTTGGACCTGAAATCTCTTTTAAATATCTTTGAGACATGGAAGCAAGTATCTAGATCCACAGGCAAGCTAGGTGGTACAGTGAATAGAGTGCCAGGACTGGGGTCAGGGAGACCTGAGTTCAAATCTAGCCTCAGACACTAGCTGTATGGCCCTGGACACGTCACTTAACCCAGTTTGCCTCAGTTTCCTTATCTGTAAAATGAGCTGGAGACGGAAGTGGCAAGCCACTCCAGTAGCTTTGCCAAGAAAATCCCAAATGGGGTCATGAAGAGTCAGGCACAACTGAAAATAACGCAACTACAACAAAACAGAGATCTACAGGGTCAAGGCAGCATGGTCGATATGCTCCTTGTTCTTCCATGACTCCTTCCTATTTCTTCAGCACCTCTCTCCCTTTCGAAGCCCACACCATGCTCGTGCCAGACCTTGCCATCCTGGACTCCACCATCTACCAATGCTCTCCCACCCACGATCTTTACCGACTTAGGCACTGGGCTCACACTTCTCTCCTCTATACGACGTCTCGTTTTCATCTTTGATGACCTCTAGCCTCCTAGCTGTTCAACTTTATCAACTCCAGGGACCTTTATCTCTCTGTCCACTCATCAACATGCTTCTACTCGGGAGCACTGACATCTTTCAAAACTGCTTTCACTTCTCACATCTCATACACTGAAATGGCTCTCTGAAGAGAACTTCCTAACTTCTGTCGCTCCTGTGAATCCTGCTTTTTACCTATATTGTACGGTACCAGCCTTACAACCCTTCTTTAAATTTTCCAGCCTTGCAGTCCACTTCTGGCTTTACTTTCCTCTCTACTAAGCCTAACGGTCAGTCATTTCAATGACACACTCACAGATATTCTAGAAAACCTAGCTCCCTGGTCCTTCTTCCCTACTTCCCTGACCAATCCCCAACCTACAGTGACCTCTGCTGTCTACTTTCTCCACTCTTGCTTCAATCACCACAAGAATAGTCACAGAAGTATAAAAACAAAGCCAACCAGCCCCATTGTTGATTTCACCCTCAGAGCCGCCCCCAAAGCAAACTTCTCTAAAGAATTGTCACTTTCACCGCCTCCACTTCTTGTCTGCTCTTCTCATTCTCTTACAAGACAATGTAGAGCTCTCTGTGGGTTCCCCTCCACCCACATTCTATATAAACTATTCTCTCAAAAGCCATTAATGACCTTCTAATAACCAAACCCAATGGGCCTCTTCTCAGTTTTCATCTTCTTTGACCACCTCTACCTGACAAAAATCCCTCTTTCTTGAAATTCTCTCTTCCCTTGGCTTCCATAACATTGCCTTCTCCAAGTGGCTCTTTGTTCATTCCTCCTCCAATTGCAATGACTTCTCTTCTTCCTTAACCCTTACCCTCCTCCCACATTAAGTCCCAATTTCCCTGGTGTTCCAAGATCTCTGCTCTTTCTATGCTCATTCCCTTGACGATTTCGTCCATGCCTACAACCTTTAATTTTTTATGCAGACAATTCCCCAACCTATATTCTAGTGCTTATGCCCCTCTTAACTTTCACACTTGTATTTGTTTTTGTGTGTGTGTGTGTGTGTATGTGTGTTTTTGGCAAGGCAATTGGGGTTAAGTGACTTGCCTAGGGTCACACAGCTAGTAAGTCACCTAGCTGCCCCTTCGACTTGTATTTCAAATGTTATACTGGACATCTCTACTTGAATGTCCCTCTGGAACCTAAACCTGTTCTTACTTCCAAATTCTGTATCCATTAATGGTTCTGCCATTCTCTATGTCACTTGGGTTCAAAATAATAGGATCATTAGGAAGGCAGAATTTAGAACTCAAAGGGGGATATTAGAGATCACACCTTCACTTTATAGATGAGGAAACTGGGGCCCAGCGATATTTCATGTTTTGGATAAAGGAGAAGAGCCTAGTTTCAAATCCAGGCCTTCTGACTACATATTAGGGCTTTTCTCATGATACCACTATAGTGTCACCTTCGGTGCCTCTTTCCCTCAACTCCAACATCCAATTACTTGATAAATCCTGTTGATGTTGTTATTTTATTTTATTTTTTTTTTGCAACACAGAAAATCATATAACTATTGGATGCCAGAGAGGTAGCAGAGACCTTAGAGTCATCTAGGTCAACCCTTTCATCTAACATATCAAGAGGCTGAGGTCCAGAGGACCAGGGTGGGGATAGGGGTTGCATGTGTGTGACTTTCCCAAGGCTACATCATTAACTAGTGGCAGAGCCAGGATCTTCCATCTGGGTCCCTTTGCCACAGCCCTAGCTCTTATCCTCATTATCTCTTGCCTAAAGCCACTGTAACATCCTTTTATCTGGCCTCCCTTCCTCTGTTTTTTCACTACTCAGATATATCTTACACACTGTAGTTGGATTAATCTTTCTAAGCTGGTTCAGACTATGCTGTAGTTTTGCTCAAAAAGCTCTAGTAGCTACAAACTGCCTGTCAAATAAAGTCCCAACTCCTTATCCTGGCAATTGAGATCCTCTATCATATGGTCTCAGCCCAATCTTTCTAGTCTTATCTCCCACTACTACCCTTTCACAAGCCCTATGCTCCAGTCAAACTGGACAACTTGTCATTTCCATTTATTTTTATTTATTATTATTATTATTTTTTTGCAAGGCAATCGGGGTTAAGAGACTTGCCCAGGGTCACACAGCTAATGAGTATCATGTGTCGGAGGCTGGATTTGAACTCAGTCCTCCTGGCTCCAGGGCCGGTTTTCTATCCACTGCGCCCCAAGCTGCCCCTGACTTTTATTTTTCAATTTAAATATAATAACTCATTGTTGGCTCCCTATTGTTTTTCAGATTTTTGGAAACTCTTACCCTTCTTCTGAGTCATTTTTTCAATTGTGTCCAACTCTTCATGACCCCATTTGGGGTTTTCTTGGCAAAGATACTGGAGTGGTTTGCCATTTCCTTCTCCAGCTCATTTTAAAGATGAGGAAACTGAGGCAAACAAGGGTTAAGTGACTTGCCCAGGGTCTCACAGCTAGTAAGTGTCTGAGGCCAGATTTGAACTCAGAAAGATGAGTCTTCCTGACTCCAGGCTTGCATTTTTAGTTTCTCATAAAGGTATAACTGTTAGGCTTGTGTTTTCCTCCATTTTTTTCCTTATGAATTTTTATCTCCTTCCTCTTTTAAGTCAATATTTTGTCCCTGGGATGAGATTAGCTTGTACTACATTGAAGCTAGTCTATCTCACAGGGTCCCCTATGTGCCTGCCCTAGCCCAAGTTCTCTGAATTTATTTACATTATTAATTTATCTTTCTTCCTTTTAACACACTCTCTCTGTCTCTCTCCTCTGTCTGTCTCTGTTCCCCTCTTCATTGAGGAGATAGCACTTGAGTCTTGAATTAGGATCAAGCTTCTTCAGAGATGACGAGGAATTGCATTCCCGGAGGTAGGGACAGCCTATGTGAATGTCAATGCACAGAGGCATGAGATGGCATAATGAGTCTGGGAAATGGCTCCTGGTCCTGTTTGGCTGAAATACAGCTTGCGTGAAGGGGAATAATGAGAAACAAAGCTTAACGGCTGGAGCCAGACTGCAGAAAGCCTTGAGTGGAGTCACTGAAGGTGTTTGAGAAGGGAGTGACATGGTCAGACTTAAGTCTCAGTAATATTATTTTGGCAGCTGTACAAGGGATGGTTCGGAGAGGGAAAGAGATTGGAAGTAGGGAGGATCAATTAGGAGATTATTACCCACGGTAAATATGTCTTCTATATGTCTCAGGTGGATTGGGTTGGAAGATAATGAGGTCTGTTTTGGATTACATTAGCTGGAGATAGTCTTGCTCAAATGCCTTCTCTTCCATGAAGTCTTCCCTGACCTCCCCTGGATCAAACTGCTATCTCCCTCTTCTGAAAAAAACTGTAGCACTTAATTTATACCTCTCATTTCACTTTTGCATTTTACCTTCTATGACTCATCAGAATATCTCATCCTACTGTCAGCTCATTGACTGTCAACTCATTGAGAACAGGAATCTCGTCTTATTATTCTTTGTAGATCGCTTACTACCAGAACAGGCTGAATAAATGAACGAACTGAACAGAAAAATGCTGCCTTGAAATACCGAATCCACATTTTTTTCAAATCTCCAAACCCCAAAGCGAGACAGAGAATCACAGCACTGCCACTTACTACCTGGTGTGGTATTGGGTGAGTCCCTTCTCTCTGGGTCCCAGTTTCCTAATCTGCAAAATGAAGAGATTGGACTAGGTTACCTAGCCTACCTACCATTCCTTTTTGCTTTTACTCCTGTGACCTATATAGTCTTTGTGAGCACTAGAGGTTGCAATCGTCTTTTTAGCAGGTCACTCCCTCACTCATGAAACTTCAGGTGATCCCGACACTGCTACTGGGACAAATTTCATCTCCTCACCTTGGCATTCAAGGTCTTCTTGTCAACTTTTTTTTGTTTGTTTGTTTGTTTTAGCCACATATATATTTCCAATCTAATCCTCTTATTTGTCCCCAATCTGGACCTTTTGGTATAGCCAAACCAATCTGTTGCTTGTCCTAGGCACATATTGCTCTCCCACAATTCCATGCTTTTCCCTATGCTGTCCTTCTCTGGGACGCCCTTTCACTTTCCCATTGATTCACATCCACTATTCCTCTGGGTCCAACACACAGCCTGTCTCCTCCAAGAGGACTTCCTTGACCAGCCCCACTTGGCCAGTGGTAATTCTTCCCCATCTCTGCTTCTGTATCACTTTGGTGTTCTGTAGTTTACTCTATGTTGTCTCGTACCAATGTTTACACATGAAAGTGTTTGCTGAGCATTAGCTCCTTGGTATGACACGCAATGTGTGTGAAATTCTAACATACCTGGAGAATTCTGAATAAGCTTTGTTTCCTAAAACCCCACACATTTGAACAAGCAAGTAATTAAACTACAAGGAGAAACACAATTCATATGTTTGCTAATTGTCTTTTGCTACTGGGAGCATTAATAGCCTTTTGCTAGGATGCCAGGATAGTTTTCAAATATTTGCAGCGGAGGCTTTTAAACCCTGCTTTGGAATAGATGAAAGTGGAAAGCGCTCCGAACTTTAAGTCTTGGCTCCACCACTTGTTAGCTCTGTGGCCTCAGTCACAATTTTCTGAGGCCTCATCTCTAAAAGAGGGATAACAGTACTTGCACCACCTACCTCACAGGGTTGTAACGTTCAAACAGGAGAACATATGTAAGGCACTATGTAAACACCAGCCATTTATTATTTTATCTTTCTTAATGACAACAACAACAACAATAGTTTAGGTTGAATTACTGATCTGCCCAACATATCCTTGAATTTTTTTACACAAAAGTTTTTCTAAAACATGGTTTTAGGATCAACTGAATTTACATTCCAAATTTTCATATCGTATCGGTCAGCTTACCTTCGCTTTTTTCTCATCGCTTCCAGTTGCACTGCCTTTACGAGCTGAGGAAATATAAAATAAGACTGAATGTGAGGCTCATGCTGCTCAAGGCTGTATAGCCCGTGTCCTCGGGCCCATAAAAGGGACACCCAGGAAGGCGCATTCTGTCTAGGTCAGCGGCACATGCTTTTATTTAGGTGGCGCTGGACAGCATTTGTAAGAAACTTAATGGATTTGTTAGGTTTCATACTTCAGCAGCAATGGCGGGATAACCACTCTGGGACAATACAGGGCAAGGAATAGATTGGCCAAATGTCAGGAACATGCGGGAGTTGGATTGTTATCACTGGTGTGGTCTTTAGGCACCTCACGGAATAGTTCATATGGGACTGACTAGTATCTAACATACTTTTAATAATTACGTGAAGGCATATTATGTGGGCCTAGAAAATCAACACAGGGGACAAAGAAACTTTAGTCCTGAAAGGTTATTCACCCAAGGTCCCCCCAAACAGATCACTTCCATGTACTTTCTCTCTCCCCTTTACCCCTCCTCCCACCACAAATCAAAAATTCTACATAGTACCATTCTTGACTAGCATGCAAGTTCCTTGAAGGTAAGGATTGTTTCATTTTTGATATGTAACCCCAGCCACCTGGGCTTCCTACTTAGAGAGCACTGCTATGAAGGTAATAATAATTACAGCTAACATTTATAGAGGGCTTACTATGTGCCAGGCCCTATGCTAAGGACTTTACAATTATTACCTTACTTGATCCTTACAACAACCCTGGAAGGTAGGTGCTATTATTGTCCCTGTTTTACAGATGAGGAAATGGAGGCAAATAGAGGTTAAGTGACTTGCCCAGGGTCACACAGCTAGGAAAAGTCTGGGCGGGGATCCGAACTTAGGTTTTCCTGCCTCTAGGCATGGTGCTTTATCCAATTCACCCCCTAATTAGAGAGTAGATTATCACACCAGAGTTCACCAGTTTGGTGACATGTTTTTAATCTTGGCTTTGAGGATTTCGAGGAAGAGGGAATACAGGCATTTGTACTCCATCTTGAAGGCCATATAAAGGAGGATGTCCAATGGACAAGAATGAACTGTGCCTGATTTCTAGATGGCAACTCTCCTGTCCCTCTTTTCTTGTACAGCATGTGTGACGGGGCTATGCCCCATGTGTAATAAGTAAAGGGGTGCCCCACGTGTATGAGTTGGGATGGAACTCCACCTGTAACAGATAATATCCCTATGGACATAATGTAGGATGTATGAGTGTGAGGAAACTCTAGTACTCACATCTAACGAATGGATGGTGAAAAGATGAAATGAAGACCACGTAAAAAATGCAGTTAGTTTAGTGTGAGAATTAGAAGGACCAATCAGATTCCATCTTTGAACACTGACTCCTCACGTATTCTCCATTTTGTTGTTTTTCTGTTATTCATCCATGGGAAACTAGATTATATAAGCCAACTATTGTTTCACACATGCAGGTGGATGTAATTCATCAACATCTTTTCATTTTATGAATTGAGGATCCTGAAACCTACTCGTCTCCCTCTCAACTTGGAAAGCCCTTGGTCTTTCCTCCAATTAGAAGTCAGATTACCTAATTTTGTATCCTGGTTAATTGCTTTTGTTCTAATTGGACTTTTTGGGCTTATCTGTTTTTTGGGTAGAAAAATCAGCTTTACTCTATATTTGGGGTCCCTGGACTAACTAGGGAATCTACTGACCCATTCTTTTGAATGCCTAGTTAAATAAGTCATCTATGTTCAGATTGTTTCACTAGTTATTAATTACCCGTTACAATGGGTACCTCACTAATACTAAAATGGTTGCATAGAGTATAGCACTTCATGGGAGGTTGGTCCTTTCTGGGCTCAGTTTCTGTTTATCTCAAAAAATTATCTCATAGAGGTTGAGGGGAATATGAAGATCTTGCATTTATCTAAGCTTATGACCATTACACGACTCTCTTGCTGGTGGGATTTTGATATGGGATGTTCTTCCTCTTATGACAAAGAAGGGATGTATCTCCGATCTCTCAAAAAGGATAAAAATATTTTCCCAAATCTTTATTCACTGACATCATTAATCATATCAGATTTTTTGTTTGTTTATAATTGGACAAAGGATATATATGATCATGTGAAGTAGGGAGAGATGTAATCAGAAAGTAAATAATGTAAATAAATACTGTGGCAATTGTGGGGAAGGGCAGATCTCTGTCTTTCCTTCTGTCTCTTCCTCCCTTAACTCAACAAGGAGTGAGCTGGGGCTGGGAGCAAGCATCCTATCAGTTCCGAGTGCCAGCGTCCTGTGGCCATATCCTTCCAGAGTCTTGGAGGAGGGGGCAGGGAAGCTGGCATCAGATGCAGCTTAAACCTTCCTCTTGCACATCTCATATGTCCAAGATGGCAGACAAACTCTTGGCTTTCCTTTTCCCAGAAGCCTCTAAAGCCAAGTTCAAAGACATGTCACCAAACTGGTGATTTTGGGGCACAGCCTATTCTTCACTTTTGGAGTCTGTCATTTCCATGGCATGGATTACTGACATGCCAGGGTCACATAGTATTCTCTAGCATCAAGTACAGTTCATGGTACACGTTAGCATGACTATAGCCAAATTAAGGGTTGAATAGGAACAAAAAGGCATAGGAATGGCTCCTGTCCCCTCCAATTTTCTCTTTTCAGAAGGCAAATCAGGAAAAATAAAAGCAATGAACTATCTACAGTATTCAGGAAGACATGAGTTCAAACTCTGCCTCATTCACTTACTAGCTGGGTAAATGACCCTGGGTAAGTCACTTAACTTCTACCTGGTTTCAATTTCCTCATTTATAAAATGAGGATAATAATAGCACCTGATTCCCAGGGCAACTGAGAAACTAAAATGAGAAGATCTATAGAGTATGCTGCAAACTTTAAAGTGTTCTCTAAACTTGAGTTATTTTTATTTTCATTATTGTTATTGCTAATTCCCCCAGAACTAAAAGGAATGAAACTCAAATACCATCTCTCCCTTTATTCAACCCTTCTTCAAGTCTTGAATGAAATGTTTTAATTAACTAGATTTTATATGAAAATAGTATTTTGGTTCTTGCCTTACCTACTTCGCTCCCTCTAAACCCAGTTAATCCTGCTGGCTGATTGTCATACGTAGAGGTGAAGGCTGGAGGCTCCTAATAATCGTATGTACATGGTAGCTCTGGGATTTCCCACTTTCTGGCATTCAAGGCCCTCCATAATTTGTATTTCATCTTCTTCTAGGGAGTCCACTGACCCATTCTTTTGAATGCTGAGTTAATAAATCATCTGTGCTCTGATTGTTTCATTAGTTATTAATTGCCTGTTACAGTGGGTACCTCACACTACAATGGTTGCATAGTCACTTCTCCAGCCTCGGCGTGACCAAACTACTCTATAATTTCCCACTTCCATGCCTTCTCTCATGTGGCTCTTTCCTTGCAAAGCCCTTCTTCTTCTTCTTCTTCTTCAAATTCCTCACTCAGGTCTGCCTGTCCAATCCCCATACTTATCCTTTAGGGCCTAGCTCAGGTGGGCCGCCTGTACTCCCTGGAGACTTCCTTAATTCCCTCCGCCCCCTACTTGAAGTAACCTCTAATTCCTCTGAATCTCTTTACCCATCTCTGTTAGGTCTTCTCTTGTGTGGTACCACCCTAGCTTCTGGGTAATTTCTGCCCCTTGTCTTATCCCTTGCTAGGTTCTTTGAGGGCAGGGAATACATCTTTCTGTCTCTCTGCCCTCCTCAAAGCACCGACCCCCCCATTGCTTTGTACACAATGGATGCTCCCTAAAGGCTTACTGAATTACACCGACACTGAAGATGACGGTTGTTTAGGAATTCCATGTGTTCCCCTCTCTGAGTCCTCCTGACTTGGCTCTGTCCTTTCAGGAGCACCAACATTCCCCTTTTGTGCTGTTCTTCACTTGCAGACACTAACACTGTACTGCTGAATGTGAAGACTGCCATCTTTGTTTTCTTGTGTGTGTACTGTTGCATAGTATCCAGGATAGGGCCTTGCACACACCTTACCAACATGCATGGATGAATGAATGTAAGATCCTATCAAACTTTGGGGTAGCCCCAACCTAAGCAGAATAGGAGAAACTTGAATCCTCTGGAAGGCTTCCTCCCTGCCACAAAACAGTGTTTTGGGCTGATGTCCTAACTTTAATATGGCCACCAGCTATCTTGATGTTTCTGCCCAACTGACTGCACAAGTCCCATGAAACAATCTCTGTTTGGTGATTGACATATTTTTTTCATTAACAAAAGCAATTAACATATAAGTAGTATTACCCCCCCCCCATGTCAATGTCTCTTTTGTTGAATACAGTCCACCAGTCATTGACCATCAACCTCCCAAGAGTGAGTTAGTGGAGCGGCCAGAATAAAAGAACTGTAAGAACAAAAAAGGGAAATAAGCATTAACTGTTAAGTGGTGGTGCACATGCAGAATGGCAGGCAAGCATGAGAGAGGAGCAGGGGGTGTGTGGAGACCCCGGGAGGGGGAAAGCAGCAGCGCCATCTGTCTGCTCACAGTGGACATCCCTGGAAGTCTCTCAAGCGGCAGGTTTCAAAGGAAGGGCTGAAAAGCTCACTGGTACGGTGTCAGCAGCCTTGCCACGGCACAAGTCACTAGGAAATGCACGAGCTTGGGAGAGTGGAGCAAGAAACACACCTTTTAACTGAGGAACTCGACTGACTGGCTTCCCGGATGGGGAACGTATGGGCTGCTTTTCTGGTGTTTTTGCATCCTCTTCCACTGAGGCACGTGGGCTCCTGGGCTCCCTACTCAAAGTATCTTCAGGGCCCAACTCTGAAAATTCTTGTTCCTTTGGAATATCAGCTTTGATATCCACTTGTGATATACCCTCGGAGGATTCTAAACTTGACAGTCCATCACTGCCTTCAGCTGCTACCTGGCCTACTGCAGGCAGGTCCCTTTCAATCACTGGCATCTCTGGGGGAATTCTGGAGAGAAAATCATCTGGCAGAGGAATTTTGATATGATGTTCCACTGGTAAATGGGGGATTGCAATAGTTTCCTTAGAAGCCATTGAAGGAGGCTGCAAGCTCTCTGGTCTTGGAGAAAGCTGAGAAGGAAGAGGTGAATCTTGGGGTAAGGATTCATCGATGTCACGATCTTCATCATCCTCCCTTACCATAGCCCTTTCTTTCACAGGCACTACCAATGGGTAATCCCCAGGTCTTCTGGATTGAACAGACTCCACTGACATATCTGAGACTTGTTCTCCAGGCATATTAATGGCATCTTGGCCAATGGCCTCAGTAACATAGTGTCCTGGATCACTAAGAAAGCTTTCATGGACTTCATGGCCTTCAACCCCAACTCTGAAATTCTCTGAGTATCCTGATAGGCTTTCCACCACAGTGGGCTTGGGAGATGTCAAAGTCTGTTCAGGTCTGTCTCCATCTTTCTGCTTTAGAGCTGGGCACATTTCCTCAATACCTTCCTCCAGGCTAGGTGCCTCTGAGTAAAATGAAATGTCTTGAGGGGCAAGGGGGACAGTCATTCCTGGCTCTTCAGGTTCTTTTTTCCTCAAAGGCATCTGTGGTTTCTGAAAAGTTTCTTCCACGCTTACCTGATGTATTTGAGACTGAATCTCATTGGCTGAGAAATCCAGGATCTCTGACTTTTCTCTCTGACACTCTGCTGAGACTCTGAACTCCTCTGCATTTGAAGAGGCAGTGATGGCAAAACGTTAGCATGGGCATGCTGATGGTAAAAGAGAAGAAACTCACTTCTGCACACCATTATCTGCTGTAGCCACTGTGAGTATGGGAGCTAATATGAGTAGTACGAATGCTGCTTCCATACGATATGAGTACCTAGCAACCTGCCTATAGTAAAGCATGGTAGCAAATCTGTGGTCATTTTTTTAAACCTCTGAGCAGATCTAAACTGCCTGCCTTACTATGACATGAGTCACTTGAGTCAGGACAGCTTGTATGAGATCCTTTTTGAATGTAGGTCCATAGGATAAGGTTTACCCACTGACCTAGAAACCCTATGGAATAATCAATATGTTATATAATGTGTACAGTGATGTTCCAGGAGGCAGGGACCGAACTGGGCATGTACTTAACCCAATGTCTAGGACACTGTGAGATCCTTAATATATACTAAATACCACCATCACCAGGATAAAGCAGAGGCTCAAGGACAGCTGATTTGGGCTCAGTTACTCATGCCAATTTCTTGCCCTGTTATCCCCACGAGCTGTGGAGATTTGGTCCTAGTGAAGAGTCTCAGTGCCCAGTGAGAGAGGAAAAGTGCAAGTGTCTCTTATCTATGTATGTAAACATCTCTCTCTCTCTCTCTCTCTCTCTCTCTCTCTCTCTCTCTCTCTCTCTCTCTCTAGATCCAGATCTAAGCACAATCAGGAAATGTGCAAGTGCTTCCTAACTAATTCAGCCAAGGCATCTCAACCCTACACTGTAACACCCTCTCCCAGTTTTTACTTTATGAGTGTGAATAGCTTAAAGTGGAACCAAGGCTGTCTATAGAAGAAAGCGACAAAGAAGTTTATAAATTGTGCTTTGCACATTTCTAATTCAATTGCTAAGGGCTGAGGAACCCTTAGTAAATAAAGGCTGTGTGCAGATCACAAGTATGCTTCTATTGAATAAGCCTTACACTCAGGCTCATCAAATAAGGCAAAAGACTTTATGTATAAATGAATCACACATCTTGGAAATTGAAGTTGAAAGGGGAGGAGGTTGATTAGGGATCCCCTAATCAGTTTGGGGACTCCCCAATCAACTTGATAAGAGTATAAGGTATGAACTGGTTTGTAGGCACCTGAGGGGCACCTCACCAAGGGCAGTGTGGATAAACTCATGGGCACAGAGAATTCCTGGTGGGTTTTTCAATGACTGCAGCTGCTTCCAAGGCAAGGACTCAAGAGCATGGATGGACTCTTGAGACAAAAGTGAGCATGTAGACCAGCTCAATCTTTTCTTGAACTTCATTTCCCTTTCCTCCTATTCAGAAGACAGGCCAAGGTACGGCATAGATCTGTGTTCTGAGTGGCAGAAACCTGCACGGTCACATTCTCTTCCCCATAGAAATTAGAAATGACTGCCTTAGGGCAGAGACAGGTGAAAACTGGCTGCCTATGCTTACAGGCTGCAAAAGGGAAGAGAGTCTGAAAGTGGACATTCTGAGACTAAAAGACGATAGAAACCAGAGTTCTAATACAGCTCCTATAAAAGCACATGGCAGGGGTGCCCACTCAACCTGAAAGGGTAGCTGACGGATAACATTCGTGAACTTTAAACTCCCCCATTGGAGGCGGGGTTTGAATGATCTAGGCATCAAGCTACCAAAATCTGGCGCTCTAGCAAGAGAGCAGAGATTTCCTGTGCAGTAACAGCTTTGGAGATTGTCATGTGGGTAACCTCAAGTTTGAGAGGTCGAAGACCGGGCCTTTTACAGAGAGAAGAGGATCTGATGATGCAGCATCTACTCTGGGAAAAGATGAGGATCGCCTGTTTTTGAACAGTCCTGCTTGGAGAGTAAAGTCAACAAATGGTTTGGAATATGTAGGTCCTATGGGGAGGGGATTGCTTGTCTGGCATCTCCAGTGTATGTTTATTTTCTAGGGGAACCTGAATTCTTTAACATACTAGTGTCACTCTCAGACTTAGAGTGTCATTCTGTGGGTGTGAATTTCCCTACTGGTTCTAGATTCAGAGAACTTAGATTCAAATCTGCCATCTAATAAGGCCCGTGTGAATACGGGCAAGTCCCTGTGCCTCGGTTTCTTCATCTGTAAGATGAGGAGGCTGACCTCTCAGGTGCCTCCCAGCTCGAGACCTATGACCCCATAGGGACCTGGGCATAGTGGGCATTTTATTAAACAACAAACATTTACTGAATAAACAAACTGCTGCTTTCTGAAGTACAAGACTGGCTTCCTTCCAATCCTGTTGCAATCTAGAAGCTTCCACAGTTGGCTGTTAAGAGTCTGGGCTCACTCATTCTAGGAAATACTAAAGACATGGATGTGAGGAATACAGAGAAGAATGGGAAGATGCACAGAAACTGATGAAAAGTGAAAAGTAAAAGCAGAACCAGCACAATAGTCCATATCTGTACCATATAACCTGACACTCTGACAAATGGATTCTAGAGTTCCGAATCGGGTTATTAAAACCTTTCTGATGCTTGATTATATGATGTGGTTTTTCTCAAACACCAGCGGTGTGGTTTTTTTTTTGTATTGTTTTAATTATCTAGGTACACAACTGAATTTCTATGGACTTTACCTTTTTCAGTTATAGAGGAACACAACCTATTCCAAAATAAAGTCTGGAGGAGATCTGAGATGAGTCTTCCCCCAGGAGCAAACTAATTGACTCTATACAGTACCACTTATACTGCCCCACACAGATGATTAATTTTTTTTAGGGTGTTCCCCATCCCCCACCCCCCATCCTCCCAAAGCTACAGAAATACAGCAGCTGCCTTCTGACAACATAGTGACTACCTAGATGGAGCCTTAAAAACAGTAATAATTATTTTAAAAGCTACTCTCCAAATTAAAGTGTGAGAGGGTCCTTAAGAAGTCAAGAGCCAGTCTTAAGAATTCAGGATGACAATCAACCTCAGAAGACACGTCTGTCACATCCTTGCTCTGTCTGGTCCCAAATAATGATCTAGTCTCCCGATTTCTTCCCATCCTGTCTGAACATAGTCAGTCTACTGACCTTGGGGAACATCTCCCGCTGCTTGGTCCTCCAAGTTAGGTGTGTCTCCAATACCTGCTTCCTCAGCTAGTCAACACATAAACAGAGAAAATAAAAATAGTGAGTCAATACATGTAAGGAACAACTGTTTACCATCTAGTACCAACTGGTATTTTTTGCAGGCAAGTAGGAGACAAAAGCATTTAGTGCCACCCCACTGGCTTCCTTGGAACAGGATAATTTGGTTCCTTCTTGCTTTTGTATTCCAAGTATCTAGCACTATGCCTCATATGTAGTGGGCACTTAATAAACACTAAAATGTTTACTGAATTAAATTTAATTTAGCAATAGACAAAAGTATAGCTTAAAATAATAAAAACTTCAAACTAGTCTCTTTTTAAAAATACATTTTTATTATCTTTTATTTTACATCACTCTTATTTCTCAATATGCCCCTCCTCCTCCTCTCAGAAAGCCATCTCTTATAATAAAGAATAAAAAGAAGGGGAAACAGCTCAACAGGATGAATCGACACAATGAAAAAGTCTGACATTATAAACAGGACACTCACAGTTCCTTGGTGTGTGTGTGCGTGTGCGTGTGTGTGCGTGTGCAGGAGGGGAAGTGTCTTCACACAACTCTTCTCTGGGGCCAAGTTCGGTCATCATAACTTAACAGGGTTCAGTTCTGTTTTGGTGGTGGTGTTACTTCCATTTACACTGCTGGGGTTACTGTTGTCCTGGCCTGCTTACTTTTTACTTTTCATCAGCATCTGTGAGTTTTCCAATTCTTCTCTGAATTCTTCACATTCATTATTTCTTACGGTACAGTCATATTCCCTCATATTCATGTACCACAATCTGCTTATTCATTCCCTGATCCCTGGGCATTTCCAATTCTTTGCTAAGACAAAAAGTACCGCTATAAACATCATAGGGTATATGAGGCTTTTCTTTTTGCCACGGACCTTCTTGGGATACAAGCCTCCCAGTGATCAAACAGTATGGACATGTCATTCACTTTTTACCATTGCTCCAAATTTCTTTCCAGAAAAGTTGGACCAATTCACAGTGCATCATTCACCAGTGCATTAGTGTCAACAAGTATTTATTATTAGGTATTTATCATGTGGCTGATACTATGACATAAAGACAAAAGTGAAAGCCTCTGCCCTTAAAGAGTGGACATTCCAATGGGGGAGGAATATGTATATCAAAGAGTAAACATTCCAATCGGGGAGAAACGTGTGTGTGTGTGTACACACACACACACACACACACACACACACACACACACACACACACACCCCTAGGAGTATATACAGATTATGTGCAAGATGATTACAAAGTAATTTCTGGAGGGGGTACCCTAGCAGCTTGGGCAAGGGGGAGCTGACGGAGAAGGGGACCAAGAAAGGCTTCATGAAAAAGATGGAACTTGAACTGAGTCTGGAAGGAAACCAAGGAAATCCAGGAGGTGAGGAGAGGAAGGAATGTATTAAAGGCAAGGAGACAGGAGGTGTAGAGGGCAGCTAGTTAGGGTGGGTGCAGTGGATAGGGCGCAAGGCTTGAAGTCAAGAAGACCTGAGTTCAAATCCAACCTCAGACACTTAGTAGCTGTGTGATGCTGGACAAGTCATTTTACCTTGTTTACCTCATTTTCTTCATCTGTAAAATAAGCTGGAGAAGGAAATGGCAAACCACTCTAGTATCTTTACCAAGAAAACCCCAAATGGGATCACGACTGAAATAACTGAACAACAAAAAATGGGCAATGGAGTATTCTGTGTGCAGAATAGTAAGTAGAATTACCACTGTGACTAGGAAACAGAGTATAAGGAAGGGATTAAAAAGTAAGAAGTGGGGCAGCTAGGTGATGCAGTGGATAGAGCACCACTATCAGGAGGACCTGAGTTCAAATCCAGCCTCAGATACTTACTAGCTGTGTGATGCTGGGTAAGTCATTTAATCCCGACTGCCTCAAAAAGAAAAAAAAAAGTAAGAAGAATGGGAATGTAGGAAGGGGTCAGGTTGTGAAAAGTTGTAAACATCAAATAAAGATTTTATATTTTATCCTTAAGGTAAGAGGGAGCCATTAGAGTTTACTGGGAGCAGGGATGACAGAATCAGACTTATACTTTAGGAAAATCACCTTTGCAGTTGAATGGATGATGGATTGGAGTATGGAGAAACTTGAGGCAGGGAGACCAAATAGGAGGATCCTCCAATAGTCTAGGGTAGCACTAAAGAGGGCCTGACCTAGATGGTGGTTGTGTGAGATAGAGAGGGGAGGTATGTGAGAGACGTGTGGACATAAATGCATGGAAGTGGTGACTAGATATGGGGGGGAGGGATGAAAGTGAAGAGTAGAGGACAATACCAAGCAGAGGGACTGTGGTACTCTCATCAATAATACTGAAGTTTGGAACAAGGATGGGTTTGGGAGGTAAGAAGATGATGAGATTTGTTTTAGACATGATGGGTTTGAGATGACTGTGAGACAAGTAGTTTGAAATGATCAATAAATAAATGATGATGTAGGACTAGAGTTTGGGAGAGAGATTAGGCATGGATATAGATATCTGGGAGTCATCTGTATAGAAATGGTAATTAAATCCACGAGAGCTGATGAGGTCCCCACTAGAAGGGAAGAAGAGAGAAAAGTCGAAGGCAGCCCTGGACAGAACTTCATTCCACAACATGATTATTCCCATCTTATGTCTTCTTAGCCAATTAGCTGGTTGTGAGATAAAACCTCAGAGTAGTTTTTATTTGCTTTTCTTCCCACCCCCAACTCTTTCTCTCTCTCTCCCTTCCTCCTCCCTTCTCTTTCTCTCCTCTCCTCCCCCCTCTCTCCCTCTCTTCTCCTCCTTCCCTTTCTCTCTCCTCTCCTCTCCTCTCACTCTCTTTCACTCCTCATGTCCCTCTTTCAGTCCTCTCTCTCTGTTTCTCTCTTCCCTCCCCCTCCTTCCCTCTCTCTTTCTGGTGATCTGGAGCAATGTTTTACACAGTTCACATGGCTCCTCTTTTAGGAGCTCACACTATTTTTTTTTCTCCTAAGGGAGAAAGGACCTGGCTACTGGATGGCCACAACCCTCCTGATGGTCCATGTGGGAGATGTACAAGGCTGTGCCAGTTAAGCTTGTGGATAGCTTAGTGAGATCCCCCAGCCTCACTGCTGGGAAAACCAAAGCACAGACCCCAGTGACATCACAGGAAGGAGGAGAGTCCTGGTGGAGCATCACCTCAAAATAAAAAATCCTCTGCAAGCAGGTGGCCAGGCTCTGGACCGCTGACTGATGGGACATGCAGCACTACTATGTGCCAGCCCCTTACAGATCTGTGAGTCCCCTTATGGCTCAACCTGACTACAGTAGGAAATTGAAGAGGTTCACACTCCAATCACATCAAGGCCATTCAATTACAAACATCTCATGAGCTTTAATTAGGAGGTACCAATTTTTTTTTTTTGGTTTAGACCTGTGATAATTAGTGTGGGGGAACTCCAGGTATGGAAACTCCCTGTATTGATCCAGATCAGCAACTTGTTGGTAACTTTAGTCTCAGAGGATTGGCTGATATATTGACAGGCAAGTAACTTGTCTGTGATCACATAGTTATATGATTTTATGTGATCCTGATTCCAAGTAATGCCCTGACTTCCTTCTGTCAAAATAAATGTGTTCAAATACCTAGAGTGTAATAAGTACAAGTACTAGGATGGCTAGGTGGTGCAGTGGATAGAGTGCCAGGCCTGGAGTCAGGAAGACTCACTTTCCTGTGTTCAAATCTGGTCTCAGACACTTACAAACTGTGTGACCCTGGGCAAGTCACTTTATCCTGCTTTGCCTCAGTTTCCTCATTCTGTAAACGAGCTGGAGAAGGAAATGGTAAACCACTCCAGTATCTCTACTAAGAAAACCTCACATGGGGTCCCTGAGAGTTGGAAGCGACTGAAAATGACTGAATGACAAAAAGAACAAGAAGTACAACAGAAACAACAACTATCCAATGAGCAGAGCAGTCTTGTCCTCAAGGTGTAGTCCTGAAGGGCAAGCTGACATTGCGGAAGACAGAAAAATAGCTTCCTATGGGAGCACAGTAATGGATGAGGAAGCTGGGTACAATTCCTGGAGAGATCTTCCTTTCTCTGAAAACAGCTTTTTTTTTTTTTGCTAGGCAATGAGGTTAAGTGACTTGCCCAGGGTCACACAACTAGTAAGTGTTATGTGTCTCAGGCCAGATTTGAACTCAGGTCCTCTTGAATCCACTGTGCCACCCAGCTGCCCCAAAACAGCTTTTTGTTTAAAAACGTCAGTACGTGGATCCTTTCACCAAGTCTGGCTGCCTGGAATCAGATCTGTTCAATGGAAACATTCTTGCAATCACTACACGCAGAACTTTTTGCAAATTGGTGTCTTATCCCAAAGCTTCTGACCCTGCTTAGGGACATCACTGGCCACATGATGATGTCCTATCTGTTCCAAAAGGCCATCATCAGGAGGGTCACTTCCTCAAATTGTGTAGCACTTGTAAGTGCTCAGAGAAGACAGATTCCCTTAGAGACTTGGAGGGATGATGGCAATGCCAGTCCACTGACTGTCAAAGAGACCTTCTCTTGGCACACTGGCAGCGTTCTTCCTGCTAACTACAATAGTCTAGACTCCTCAATAGGCAGGATGAGTTTCAGCTCCTAATCATAAAATTTGACTTTCTAGACAAGAGGAAGATAGCATGGATGCTGTGATGAATTGGCCATTCCCTTACTGTGGGTGAAAACTGTTTGCAAGCTGGAAAGGTCAACACACACAGTGGAGAAAAGAGACAGAATCCAACAGGATCCTGATGGGATAGATCATTGGCTAAATATAAGTTACATTAGGGACACGTGTTACGGGGCTAGGGCCTTGGGAAATTTCCATTTGAGGAAGCTCTCGCTACCAATGCAGGCTGCCACCTTCTCTGCAACTCAGAGCCAACTTATGTACACTTAGTGTGTTTTATTAGAGATTCTTCTTGTGTGCATTGGACTACATGGCCAACCCGGAAATTATACACGCTTTCAGCATCTGACCTAGGTATCTGTAA